CTCAAAGCTACAGAAATAAGAAGAAAATAATTTAGGGCTTTTTGTGTAAATTCTATAACTTTGCAAAGAAAGGTCGTGTAGAGCTGAGAGATGTCTCATTTTAATCAGAAATTTGCGAGCTACAATCATAACTCATTAAGAACAGGTTTTGGTTGTTTTTTAGAGTTTCCGAAAAACTGGTTTTCCATAAAATCGGGTCTTCCAGAGTTATGCACCCGAATCCTTTTAGGGTATTTACTATCTCACTGAGATCTATCGATCCATGTACAAATTATTGAAATTGGAAGGGGACACCTCGGGAGGTTCCCTCGTAAGCCGACAAATATGATATTCGACTCTTCATTTCATCTGCGGAATCAATGATTCTGTCTTAAAATTTCGTTTTTCTCTACAGAAAAAGGTGCCTTCTTACTTAAAAGAAAATCATACAACACCAGAGACTTTTAAGAAAAGATGCCAAAGGCTTTATCTACTATAGTAAATAAAAACTTTGGCACGTTTTACTACAGTAATACTTCGAGAATTTTTGCGATCGTCATCAAAAAAGCGCAGAGAGGTTTTTGTTAGAAGTTTTTACCTTAAATTCACATGTACGAAATTCAGTAAAGGCAGAATGACTCTTTTTAAGCAAGTACAAGGTATGTTGGGGAACGCAAAGGAAAAAAAAGAAACGAACAGAGTTTACAGATTTATGAAGATGATAGCACGTAGAACGGTAAATGGGTGAATGATATACCTCATGGATTCGGTGAGTATATTTGGGGAGAGAAACATCCACACCACCGTAATAAATATGCTGGACAATGGCTAAATGGTGAGAAAACGGGAAACGAAACTTATACATGGAAAAACGGTGACACGTATGAAGGGAACGTTTTGAACGGTGAATCTCACGGAGAAGGCCTGTACCGATACGCAATCGGCGGATATTACGATGGTGAATAAAAAATGGAAAAGGCATGGCCGTGGTAGCGAGATTTATCAGGACGGTAGTAAACACGATGGTAAATGGGTAAATGATATACAAAGTGATAAGACTGGATGAAGTAATTACATCGTTATCAGTCAACTGTTGGGTTGCGAGATATTCATTAATAGTAATTTTATTTGTCTTAGTCAAAGTATATGAGCGTAGTTGCTGAATAACCTCCCATATGTTTCCAACGGGATGCTGGACTTTTTTGCTTTTGGCTGGTATATTTCTTATCAGTTATATTCTTCAAAAACCTGCGACAAACCGATGAATAAATTAACGAAGCTTAAAATATTAGCTAGTAATGTTGAGGTTAACGGGATGTATTTTTATGCTTGAAAACTATTATTATTTGGCTCAAATATTAGTTAGAACTCACGAAAAATGTACATTCTACACAAAAAACTGTTTTGGAAGATAGAAGGAATGATAAAGGTTAAAATTTTGTTTATTTTCAAGATTTGAATATAAAATTGAATACTAGGTGTAAACAGTAAAGATTTTTTACATTTCTCCCCATAATATGTACTTATTTATACTCTCAGAATTTATTTTAATAGTATCTTTATTCGATAATTATCGATAATAAGATAGTATTATAAATAAAACGACATTTATTAACGGTTTAGTAAACACAACACGGTATTTATTCATTTTAAATATTTTCAAGGTTGGATGTTTGCTTTATTTCATATTATGGAAATATCGCGTTTTATTTTTGTTTATCAAAAGAGTATGAATAGTAAAAGAATATGCATAATAAGACATGACAAGTGAAAAAAATGAATAAATAAAGTGTTATGTTTAATAAACGCGTAATAAAAGTTGTTTTATTTATAATATTAGCCTTGAATTACAATTTGTGTACGTCACAATGGTGCTAGGGGATTTCTTTAAGGCAAATCGTATCGATATATACTTAAATCATCGTCGACGTTCAATTATTAAAGAATTTTGTCTTTCAACATCAACACATGGTTTGCCAGGCGTTGCGCGGGCTTACTCATGGAAAAATTTTTTCTTCTGGCTAGTATCGTTCCTATGTTTCACTGGGATTATGATCTATTTTATTGTGAAGTTAATTTTAGCCTATTTTCAATATCCAACACAGACAAATGTTGGTTTACTGCTGCAATGGCCACAATATTTTCCTGCATATACAGTTTGTAATGCCTGTCCATATCGGTCCGATTTACTCATTAATGATTTGATTAATTATACAAATTCAAAAGGGTATACAGATACAAATGATACAAATACAATTACGTCCATTCAAGCTTCTCATATTCAAGAATTTATCATTGATATAATCAATTCAAATGCATCAATCGATAATTATGGCTTTTCTCTATCCGATATGTTAATAAAATGTATATACAATAATATACCATGTTCTGCATCTGATTTTATACAATTTTCTTCGCCAAACTACGGAATGTGTTATACCTTCAATGCTAAAGCTGTAAATCAATCCGCAGTACGTTATACAAGTTACAATGGTGAGCGAGGAGTTCTAGATTTAGAATTTTATATTCATGAAAATGTTTATGTGCCATATATAGTAGAAGGTACTGGTTTAGTATCAATGCTTCATGATAATGTACAGGTTAGTGTGAGATTTATAATGTAAAAAGTTCATTGGATGAAGGAAATCAGCTTTAGGAAATATTTCTTTTCCAAAGATATTGATACAAAATTTGAGTAGAAAAATACAAGAGATTTTGAGAAAATGTACCTGAAAAATCAAGCAAATCAAGATCTTGCTTCCAAGAGAGTTCTCTAGGGAGACAGTTTGAGTCCGCCGAGTGTATCTGGCTTCGGACCAAAACAGCACATTATTCATATGCACTTATTCGTAAATAGGGTATCAACCTTACATTATAACTACTCCGATTCGATACTTTCGAGCCATGCTAAGATGCACACACGTTCATCGATTAGTTATTAGTCATTCCATCATTGATTATTTGTTGATGTTGTGATGTTACACTTACGCATTACGTCGTGATATACACATACGCTAATTTAGATGGATCTAATTGTAATTTAAGAGATTAATATAAATCTCTTGTGTTCAGACCAGTCACTTGATTGACTTCTGAGGGAATATTCAATCTTTGCTTCTTGTTTTATGTGCTTAAGATGGTTTTTCGTATGGTACAGGTACCTCAAATAGAAATCGAAGGTAAAGCTTTGGAACCTGGTAGGAAGCACCTATTAACTTATACGAAACGACAGGTAACATTTTTGCCCGCGCCATATACATCCTGCACTCAAGCTATATCACCTCAGATGGAAGCAGTATTTGCGTCTTATAATGGAGCAGAATATGAATATTCACAGCAGCTTTGCTACACGTTATGTTTACAAGCATTCACGTACGTGGTTTCCTTTTCTCTTCCTTAGCCAAACGTTCATCATTCATTTGTTGTAGATATGCGGTTTGTGGATGTGCTTCTCCTCTATTTTGGAATGTACGTAGTGTAGTTCTGCCGGGAACTAACAATCTAATAACTGCACCATTATGTAGTCCAAATGATATATGTTATTCACAAGCCTCAATAACTATAACGTCAAACGAGACTCTCATCAACCAATATTGTTCATTGTGTAGCACAGAATGTTTTCAAAGAATATTTATTGCAGTACCATCGGCATTTAAAAGTCCGCGTATGTGGGTAAAAAACAGAATTCGTCAATTTGTTGAAGAACGAAGTAACATTTCAGTGACATCACGACCGATAGCATTACCAGCAGACTGGAGTACAAAATGGAGTGATTATATTGATAATAATTATGTTGCGGTACAAGTTGTTCGAGGATCTTTCACTGTTGATTTCTATGCACAAAGTGCTACATTATCATGGGTAGATCTTCTATCTAATGTTGGCGGTCAAACAGGACTGTAAGTAATAATTTCTTCAATAGGAATACTTTAATTATTGTTTTGTGATTATAGATGGATTGGTATGTCGTTTCTTTCCTTATTTGAACTTCTCGAAACATTTTATCGTCTTATTCGTCGGCAATTTCATAACCAGAACTCATAACAATATTCACTCGCAAAGTTAGTCTTCAGCAGTAAATTTTTATTGAAAAGAAAAACAAAGCCTAAGAGCCGCCACCAAGTTTTACTTTTGTTTTTCTCTAATGAATTGAATAGTTCCTCGTTTATTTTCATATAGCATTCACTAGCTGACTTTGGTCTGAACGTATATAATCAAACAAATGGTTCTAGGAGTAAATTACTATCATGATGTTACTTTCTTTGAATAATATTTAAAATTCGAATTTCGTATTTTAACTAAACTCTCACATATATCCAATGCTTCTTGTGCCACCATAGTATGCTGCAAAGGCATGTTTTGTGCAACATACACACAAAAAAAAGTTTATAGTTACATGAAAACCAATCCCCGTCATTAACTTCCCTCATATATTTCTGCAGATAAGAATATGCCCAAAGCAATTAGCTTGGTTATTAGCAATCTATCGCCTTCTACAAAATAGTACCAGATTCAAAATCTGAAATTATAGATACCCTTAATATTTTGTAACGAATTATTCGACAAGAAAGTCTGAGCAATGACAAATATATTTAAAGTATTCAGACAATTCGAATAAACGATGAAACACAATTACTGGAGAAAATACTAACCTATATAAATTCAAAAGATTCTGTCAAGTTTCCAGCAGCGAAAACAAGCATGTTTGATTTTTCTCGTTAGTTGTGTGTGATACCGTGTGGACTTTTTACAATGCTCCGTTCTCTCTTATATAATCGACTGATAGTTGATCGCTATCCATTCATTTCCAAATTACACTTTTTCAAGCCAGCAGTTTGCCCTCTTTTTTGAAAAACGTTATGCACATGCTCCTCTCACCAACATTTCATCCAGGCAGATATTTACGTACGTTATACACGTCCATCTGTTGAGAAACACCTCGTATACTGCACAAAGCTGGTGCGTTACGAATACTCTCGTATAAATTACACAAAGAAGCTAAAATTACGTATCATCGTCGTTACTGACTTTTGCGAAACTCCCTCAGACTGTATAGTACGAGCAGCGTACGCTTGTAAGCAAGAATTACTAGATAGAAATGTTCAGCATCAATAACCAAAGATCTGTCTTCGGTATCCGTTAATAATACAGTAAAATATTTTGAAAAGTGGGTTGAAAAGATCAAACTGAGTATCGAACATCACAGTGACTACCTCTAACATTTGCTGTAGATAGATCGGTGAAATATCTTTTTTATGAATAAATAGTGGAAGGTGACAGAACTTTTTGACTGCCCTAAGTAGTGTAATGAAAGTTTGATTTCAATTACGTTTGTGCTTGCGGTACCGATCACAAAGACTTTAGCATAACGACATAACGAAAAACTCTTCCTAACTCAGTTTAGATTTGAATGAAAATATCTTTTTAATAAAAACTCTACAGATATCACTGACTTTCCACAAGCTATCTAATGTCCTAATTTAATTTTCTACTCATTTACAAAGTAGAAAAGCGTATGTCTCAGAGGACACCGTCAAAAAAAAGACAAAGTACAGTTCGAAATTGACAATTTTTTTATGGTTGATTTAACTGCCAGAATTTAACCTTCTCACAAGTATATTGAAGTAAACGAGCGAAATTTTTGGATTATATGTTAAGGTGGTAGTCCACTATAAAACACAGACAAATAAAAGGTTAAAACGAATGTTTAAGTACTAAAATACAGTGTGTAACACATCATCTTGTTTCACTGCTGAACTGTCGACTAGAGAAGATGACAAATTTGATTGCATTATTTCTTTGAGTTCAATGTGTTGATCGTTGTTGACAACGGTCGCATTTTGTTGTTCTTGAAGTTTCTTCCATTCGGTCCATTCCGGAGATGAAAGGTCGTCTGGCTCACTTTCTGGCTTTTCCATCCAAGCTTTCCGTTGCAGAAACTCAAACAGGAGAAATAAAACTGCTAACATGCCAAATGCTGTTGTAAATTTCCAACCTGTATCTTCCTTTTCTCTGTATAACACTCCCACGGCACTTGAATTAATTAAACCAAAAAATGCAAACACCGCAGCTAATACACACCAAAGCACGGCCGACAACCATTTCCGATCAATCATATACATCATAATCACAGTTAGAAAAATACATTGTAGAAGTGCACCACCGCCAAAATTAACCAAGCCATTGTAGTCATAACCGGTTATTCCCGCTTTTATTTCATTTGTGAATGATTGATTAGCAACTGACTGATACGCCGAGCTAATACCACTCACAATTGTGCCTTGTCCCCATTCAGCGACTACGGGTAAAATGCCAATAAGAAGTGCTGGATAATGGCGTACAGGTGTTATTTCTAATGTGTTTGCGCAAATAATCACACCAACGAAAACGATGAGTGGATTAATTGAAACAACAGCAATTACAGATAGGATAGGCGCTGTTAATCCAAGAAAACATAATGGTACAAAAATCAAAGCATTCACTAGCGAGTAACCTTGCTTTGCTCCCATCCTCTTATACGCTGGATGCCCAATATAAGCAGTCATACCAAAAATCGAACCAAACAATCCAGAAATCAGTGTACCAACGCCGTCTGCAAACATAGATTCACGAGTTGGATAAAAATCTCCCGCTCTTCTAGCAGATTCAACACACTGAATTGTCCCAACCGCAATTGATACTGCCGTTGAAATAGTCGTTGAAATGTATGGGCTTATCTTTGCCATATTTTGAAACATATTTCCAACAGGAAATACAGGTGGATACCATTGAACTAATTTAGCTGCATTTCGAACATTTTCGCCCGTATTCACCGAGGTAGCCCAGCCTAAAGCCGTTCCAGCTAGCATTGCTACTATACCTACTGGTATTGGACCATATTTAACTTTACCAAAATAACCCGTAATAACGATGGCAAATGGTAGATAACCAACAATAGGCACAGCTGCTATATCTAAAAATTTACCAAGTGCTAAATAAATAAGTCCAACGCCAGATAGGCTGGATAGAAGCGCTACACCTGGAATTTTGTTTCGGATAAATTCACCAAATAAGCTTAGAACTAATAAAATAACACCCGTAATAAAATTACCCGCTATACCAACATACCACGCCAGTTCTCGACACTTCTGTATGTCAGGATTCTCTTGCAGACAGCTGTAATACGCTGGATATAATATTCCATAAACAAACGCAAATGCACCTGGTGTATTGATTCCATATGGCTGAGCTGTAACATCATTTCGATTTTCTTTTAATGCCAGTTTTCGTGCCATATAAACATAATATAAGTTACCCCATAACATTGCCAATCCTAAACCTGGTACAATTTTTCCATAGACGATCTCATTTCCCAACATGGGTAAGAGACTTACTATGATGCCTAATAAAGTTGCCAAATTATCAATAAATAAAGCAACAAGCCCATCCAGATCACCACGAACAAATAATGGATAATTTTTATTTGGTTTTATACCATACCACCATTCTCGTGGATGGAACGTAAAGAGCTCTTTTAATCCTTTAATACTATCAGCGGCATATTTACGAAATGTAAATTTATTTGACTTAACAGCTACGTAATTCGCTTCATTAAACAGATCAGTTTTATGCATGGGTTTAGTGGAAAAAAATTCTTGAATAGTTAGCGTTTTGTCATCATGATTTTATCTATTCTTCGCTTTATAAAATTCACATGTTCTTATAATAAGTTGTGCAAATAGGAAGGTAAAAGAGTAGTACGACCATGCGATGGCTACCTTTTCTTTTACTTTAGTAGAATTGATAAAATCATGATGACAAAACGTTGACTATTAAACTTTTTTTCTTATCTTAAATCATGCATAAAACATATCCCAGGCCGTGAAAAATGAGATAAAAAATGAGCCATGAATGACTCATTTATGTGCCATATATGGCTCATTTTTAAATCATATCTCTCCCATATTTATCTCATTTATTGTATCATAATATAGTCATAATTATGTCAATTTTTTATGGGATAAATATCATTTTATTATGGCCATCAAAATATGAGCCTATTATGATCCTATTTAGATCATTTTTGGCTCATTTTAAGACCATT